AAATAATCTTAGCACGTTACTCATCAGGGATATTGGAGGTACATTTTGAGTTTTAATAATAAATGCTAGAATGACCAAATTGCAGACTAATTATTTCCATATTGTACTTACAATGAGTTTTTAAAAATTATGAAAGAGATGACTATATACAATCAACGCTATTTATTGTACCTCTGGGCCCTACTCTTCCAAAAATTGAGCTTATCAATTTTCTCTGTCAAGCTTGAACTAATGTAAATAATTGAAATAATGTAAAGTTATATTTTCATGTTTTTATAGATATGACATGACACGAATACATAATGTATGAGTATCTCAAGTGTGGATAATGTTGATTGGCTAACGCAGAGCTCAGTTATAGGCAGTAAAACCTAGTTCAATATCCATGTAACAGTGTATCAGTTTATTGCTGTATAGATGTGTCTGTGTGCATTTAAGTGATAAGTGCTCCAATAAGAGTGATGACAGCTGTCTAAAGGTTTTTTTATTCATTTTATATAAACTGTTATGGAAAGACCAAAATGTTTATGAACTATTCTTATGTAAATTTACAACTGCCCTTCACTGTACTTTTTGCTTACAGTATAGGGCCTTGTTCTCTGCTGTGTTAAGTGGGTGACACACTCCAAGGAGACATACAATCTCTACAACTTCTATTGAAGATACTGGGATTTCCAATTTTTCATGTGTGCTATGTCAGAAAATGCTTTTAATTTTATTTTTAAACTTAACATCTGATGGTTTTTTTCAGAGTGTTGTGAAACTTCAGTCATACATAAAATATGTTCTTATATAAAGTCAAGATCCTTTTTTTTTCGGTTTTTACTTAATAGTACATCAATCTAAGAATGAGAAGCCAAATAAGTGTATCTTATATTATCCCCAAATAAATCCAGATGTTTCTAGTAAAAGAGGGGAATCTCTGCTCGGTTTGTCAGCTATGTATGAAGAGAAAAAAATTAGAATGTCTTCTGAAATTTAAAATAGGATGAGTAGTAATTCTGATATTCCATACCCATAGTCATTGAGGGCTTTGGGCATATATGGAAGTGTGGCTAATGAGTTTGTAATGTGCTCCATTGATAAAATGCCATGTTTTGTATCGGCCATTCTACTGTGCCATCATTGCATCTGCTATGGTACTCACATTAAAAAGCAGGAAAGAAACTCGCTTTAAAATATTTATGGTTTGATATTTAAACATTGTCCATTTATTTTGACTTAAAGAAAAATTCTTTCCATTTTAACTTTTATTCACAAAGCCGGTCATTTGAACCCAATCCTATTAACATGTTCTCTAAAGTTATTCTAACATTATAGCTCTTCAAACTTGCCCATAAATTTATAAAATTTTTATACTTAAATGTATCAAATATTTAACACATGAATATATGGGTGCATCTGCTTAAAACACAGTCATTTTACATTTCAAGTCTCTAAACGCTGTGGATATTTTGATGGATCGTGATAGTACACTGAGAATAAGCAGAGAATTACTACCAATATTCCTACGAAAATATTTCCAGTACCTACCATGCCTTGATGATGTCAATCATTTTTATTTTTAATAAGCGCACGCGTGTGTATCTGGTGTGGGAAGTGCACATTGAGTATAAGTGTCTGCTGGTAGCTAAGATGAGCCCAGATGCACCAGACCTAGAACAGGAGTTATTAATATTTGTGAGCTCCCATGATGGGTTTGGGAAACGAATCTGGGGCAACGGCAAGTGTGCTCTCTCAATGACTGAGGAATTCCCCAGCCCCATAATATTATTTTTTAAAAGGTTTTCTTTTAACCTCTTGCAGTTCATTTAGACTGTGATTCACCAGTTTCTCCACTTTCTCCCTTTCTTTATCTCGTGGCATTCTGGAGGTACTTGTCTATATGATTAGAGTTACCCAAGGACTTCTCTTGTGGATGAATTTTGGTGTATTTAAACTTGTTTTCTGCTGATCAAGTTGATTGTGCCTTTCTTTTGGGTGGTCCACTAGTCTGTCTTGTGAAAGACAGTGCAGTTGTCAATTCAAAGGTACCTTTTGGGTTTTTTACTTTTAACTCATATGGAATAAGCAGGGGTTTGATGGAATGACTTACAAAGATTCTTTATCACATCAACATTAGTTGGAAATACGTACACCAACCATAGTACAGTGCTGACTTTGGACAGTTAGATTAGATAAGCTTGACAAATCTATATGAATAGATTCACAGGAAGCTTACTAAAGGAAGTGTCCGAAAGTTTCCCATGTGCTTTAGAAATGGAAAGATGGTACAAGGTGCTTTGGCACTTAACACTGGTTAATTTTACAACACCACCATGGAAGATGGGTAAGTATGCGCACACTGCTCTGGTATGCTCAATAAAAGCTTGAGGAAGAACCGGGTGATCTGTAACATATTGAATTAAATCTTTTTTCTTTAAGGCTTTTAATGACTTGTCTTGGTTAAAGCATAGCGCAGGACATTTTGTTAAATACACAATAACACTGTATGTTTTAAAAGAGCAAACCAGCACACAATACTCCAAGTAACGATGTTTCAAATCTATTCATGTAAACATGCCACAAGCTCCAAGGGAAATGCCCAGAGCTAATCTGGATCAGAAAGAATTTGTAAACGCTTCATGTCCTTTCTCTATGTAACCCCTTCTTGCTTTACATTTTAAATTCTCTTTGAACCCTTAGATACAGCTAACACTTTTCATTTGTTATACTTCATGTGGTCCTGCAGGGTTTAGTTGTTTATCTTATGCCATCATATCCCTTCCCTACGTCTTCCATCTAAGCTTTACTTGCCTCATGAGAGATTTTGTTTTAAGAGTATTTGCAATGCAGGTCACTTTGTGAGAAATAGGCACGATGATGCTTTCCAAGTCTTTTTAATGACAAAGGATTAGGAATTTCTCAAATGAAGTAGAAAGTTTCTGCTTGGCTCCACAGATGCCTCACCTACATATTCTGACCCAACCCTTGCCGATTTGGTACGTTCCCCCATGCACTGAAAGGCTTCGCAATCTGGGGAGTGCCTGGAGGACTTGGGGTGCTCTGATGAGGCAGGAAGAATGAGAATGCTGCCTTATGTTTTCCCATCAGGGCTTAGGAAAGCCACCTCACCATTAACACAGCCTGTTCTTTATGCTAATTCAACTCCCTAGGATTTTAAGATTTCTTTGCCCTTTCTCTCACTAAGTAAAGAATAAGCTAATTTTTCTATTAACAGCCAAACTCCTTTCAGATACGAATAAACTCAGTATTATTTATTATGCCTGAATTTACTGAATAAATTTGGTCATTTTCTTTCTTTCTTTTTCCTTTCAGGTTAATGTGCCAATTTCATTTTACTGTAAATTGGAATGTGGGGGAGTGGATTAAACTCTTGGGAGGGAGTCAAGTCCAGGACTCTAGCTTTTCCTTCCCCATTTCCCTCACCTCTCTGTGTCTCCTCACCTGGAGTATGTGGATACTAGCACAGTTTCCCGGAATGATGAAAGGAAAGACTGTATCTTTTGTTAAGTGATGCTTGAAGAAGCAGGCTCATGCATGGGAGTGCCACTCAGTGCAAAAAAAAAAAAGTCTTTGTTATTCGGTTATAAATGGTTTTTATCATCTTAAGACGCTAGTCAGTTTTACCTGAGAGCATCCATTCATAACTCACTAATTTGCCCATTTTTGCTAAGAAATGCTTATTGAATCTATTCTTAAGTAGTATTTATTAAAAGTAAGCGCTAAATTCAAAGCCTGTATTCTTAAGAAGTTTCATGCTTCTGATGAGTTCCCAGTCACACAGAAATAATGTGGATTCAGAGTTATTCTCTGACAACTAAGAATGATGCCTCCACTCCACCAGTACTCATTCTTTAACGCAGGACAGTGGTCTGGTAACATTCATCAGAAATCTTCCCTAAAATGGACTCAAATTTCCCACTCAAAGAAAGCTTATATAAGTTGCTCCCTTATGTTCTACCTCTGTTCTCACAGAGTCCAATTCAGTTTACCAATAAACACCACAATTTTACTATGCTAACCTCTGCTTCCTACATAGTTTAGCTTACATGTACCTAAAATCCATCTCACTTGATATGTGTATTTTGTATGGCCTTTGAAGATTTTGAGTCCGTAGAGAAACAGTATATTGCGATCAAATGGCAACTGAAATTTAAATGACAGCAGATAATTTCCCAACCATGAAGAGATCAATTCAGAATTTATCAATGCAAATGGTTAAAAGAAGATAGCAATATTTATTATTGTTTAATTTATTTCATTTGTATTAAATCATACATGAACTCAAGAGAACTAGTTTGCTTAAAATGAGAAAGATTTTAGAAGAATTAACAGTTTCAATTTACATATATATATATATGATTTAGGAGTGCACATGTTAAAGTCACTTATTTTAATCATTGCTACTCATCCTGTTACTAGTAATAATAGGTAAAACTACATTTGCTAAGCATCAGAATCAATCTCAATTAAAAATTAAGAAATGTATATTTTCCATTTATTTTATTCAACTTTTCATAATACAATTTACAGGTTTTTCAGAAATCTATAATATTTTTCTCAGCATCTTTTGGTCAAAAATTTTTTGATATAAAAATTCCTATTGTTATAGGAGTTTTGTGATTTAAGTTTTGGATGTATTGGATTCCTACCTAAAGAAGCACTTTTGTGTAAATTCACAGGTTTATGCAACAGCACCATGGGAGTGATTAGTAAGGGTCTTGAAACAAATACGTAGACTATTAAAGTCAAAAGTAGCAACACCTAACATTCTTACTTGGCCTCTGCTTTCTAGTCTTCAGCTCCATTCCCGAGTCAAACCCTGTTTGGGTGGTTGTTGAACAAATTATAGAATATTTTTATGCATCTAAACCATATGTCTTGTAGACAGGTATAACAACACATTGCACGGGATTCCTAGGTCATAGCTGTCAAGTGTTCTCGGTATGTCCTCACACATCTGTGCCTTAGTTCCCAGGAGTGAGTGCAGATTAGCAGTGCCGCTGTCACTTCTACTTAGGTTATTTTTAGAATGAAATGCAATTTTGGATTTATCATTATACTTAATCTGTATCTTAAAAGGTTGTCAAGTCTGTTTATATGCATTATTGTGTTAGCTATTCGTGTTAATGAGACAAACGTGTCTGTTCATTTTGATTTAATGTTTTTGTGTGTTTCTGTGTGTGTATGTTCATGTGTGTATTAAAAATATTCCATAATGTCTGTAGTATTTATTCTTATAATTATTCATAAAATTATTAAAATACATTCTCAGTTTCTAAGTTTGAAACATGTTAAATAATTTATAATACATTGTTATGACTAATTGAAAAGAGCTTAACAAATCAATAAACTTTGTAATTTGGGAACATGAGTCAAAGTCAACCAAACCCGAAACCAGAATCCTGCATTTACATTGATAAATTTTAGTTTGTTAGATCAGAAAACAGTAATATATGGGTTTGCAGCTTATGTAAGTTTGCATATAAACGATGCGTTAATAAGTGAATTCCAAGACAGAGGAATAGTTTTGTGTGGAGCGATTCTGTTGGTTTAGATAACAGCTATTTTTCTCTGCATTATTACATACTTTGATGGCAGAACAGGAAACCACTTCCATAAATGTAAAATTTGCCATTTTATGTTGGAAACAGGCATAGCGTTCCTCCTTTTCCTTCTTCGTTATAACCGAGCTTTCTATTAAGGTTTCCCATCCTTCATCTACCCCTCCTTCACTGGAATCAACATGACAAGGACGATTTGGTCCGTTCCTCTCCCTTCCCTCGCTACTACTCTGCACATGAATATCCCCGTACATAGATTAATAAAAGTCTAGCCATCTGTCAGATGGATTGAAGAAATTCTCTTCCTAGCCCGCTGGACCGGAAACAAAGATGAATTTGCAAAACTAGCTCTGTTCAAATATTGCGCTTAGTAGGAATCTGTCTAGTATATTATTGTTATAAACTAATGGTTCGCTTAAACATTCTATACTCTAACTTCAATATAATCGTGTGGTAGAGAATAAATCTGTCTCATTCATCTTTGAGTTTTTAAAACATTTTTAAATTACATATTTAATATTTAATTTAAAATAATTTTTTAATTATATATTTATTATATATTTAATTTAAAAGAATAGTTGGCAGTTAATAAGTATGAATTCTGTGCCACACTCATAAAATATGCACTACTGTAATCATTCATTCTCATTTTCCAAATGAGGAGTCTGAGGCATAGAGGGTACAAAGAGCTTAAATAATTTGTAAGGGGTGACATATGGCCTTGTACTTTAACACGATGGCTGCAGTAACACACTGAAAACACTGCCTTGAAGGAACATAGATCATTTATAGTAAAAGTATTCCAAAATGCAGAAGACACAAACCCATCCAACCCCAAAACTGACACGTAGGGCTTAGACTTCTGCAAAGCATTCAGACATCCCTGTGTAAGTCATGAAGGGACAGGGACATTTCGTGGCAGATCTATGGCATAACAGTGTTTGTGGTTGAGAAGACTAAGTCACGTATGCTGAAATGAGTTTCCTGACAAGCATGATCCAGTGGCTGCTCCTGCACCATCTGAAAACAGTGAATGTGCTAACCAATCAACTATCCCTCCCCCTTCCCCCTTCCCCCCCCCCGCCCCCGAGTGTGGAGCTAGGGCAGAGCTGCAAAGCAAATGGCGTCAAATTCAATGCATGCCCTTTCTTTCCCACAGAAACTATTTTAAATTGAATGGGATGCTGTTCTCAAATCATATTCTATGACCAGGTTCCTGAAAGATAGCTCTCGTCCTATACCGTACCAGCTCCCAAGTCAAGACACAGAGACTTACTAGGTTTTGAATGCTTGGCCTTAGCTTACCTCTTTTCTTGCTATCTCTTATAACTGAACTGTTTCTCTTCCTCTATGTTTTGCCTCAGGGATTTTTACCTTTCTTTTTCTGTATGTTTGACTTTTTCTGCTTCTTCCATGTCTGTCTGCCTGGCCCCGAACATCTCCCTCTCTCTCTCTAGTTCTTTTCAATCATTCTGTTCACCTCTAAATTCCTCCTCCTTCTCCTTATTCTCTCTGCCCACGGGCCTCTCCTATCCTCTTCACCTAGCTGTTGGCCATTCAGCTCTTAATTAGACCAATCATGTGCCTTAGGCAGGCATTCACAACAGCAACACACCTTTACATAATTAAACACATAGCCTTACATCATTAAAGAAATGCCGCTAAGCACACGTAACAAGTCTTTAGTTAAATAGTCTACAACATCTTATGAAAGTTTATTATTTAGCAATATTTTGAATGACATCTTCTCAAACAGTTCAGGGATTATTTTAATTTCTTCACAGGTGACTTCACTTAGTAAATTCTATGTATGAAAAGACTATAGATATCAACAGGTGATTTTTTCCCCAGCTATCTCTATATTTTGTGTTCAAATTATTTCCTGTATTCTAAAAAAATCATCTTTTCCCCTACACATAATTGATCATCATTACACTGATTTTTTTTGCAAATATGTCTGCATAGCTCTGAGTTCCAGAACAAGTCATTCAACTTTCCATTGTTATTAATATTTATAAGTGTTGTTAATACTTCTTGGCATTTGGGAGAGCAGGGTAGGAATATTGTTCAATATAGTGAAAACCTGCCTCCCCTTCCAAATATTAATAATACTAGTTAATAGGCATTGAAAAAATATGGTTAGGTACCAGTTATTATTTTACAGGTATCAATACTTTTAAGATAGTATTGATGAGATTGGTGTTATCAATATGTCCATTTCTTCTGTGAAATGAGGCAATTTTAGATCACTCTAGTTCTAGCTAGAAGTCATCACAAATACTTCAACCTCATACCGCACAGAACTGAGTTTGTGGTGTTTTCCAATAAAAGCTTCTCTCCTTTGGTTACATTTGGGTGCTAAGCTACCAAGGAAAAGGTAAATGTCCTTACATGCAGAAAGACATAAATGGATTTAATTCTTTTGGTAAATGTGGAAAATTTGGAAATACTTTTCTAGTGTTAAAATCCACCCCTCATTTCCCATTTACATATTGATGACCATATATCATCAATCTAGGCATTTTGAACATTCTTTAAGACAGCAGGAAATATTACTGAATGGCTCTTAATTTTGTATTCTTTAAATTACAATGGGTTTCATTTTAATATCTGTTATCACTACTTGTGTGAAGAGTCATACCTAGGCTGTCTGTTGACAGAGTCCCAAAAGGCTCACGATCACTTTTTCTGTGCACCTTTAGTTCTCTTGTGTTGACTGAACGAGTATATATTACTCCACCACACTTCAGTACAGAACTCTGCTGCTCCTGTAGTTTATCAAAAAGACACCAAAAAGCAAAGTGCCCAAGGTCTTCTACAGTTGTTTCTATTTGTCTCTTATATGCAATTCTAGTTTTTCTATATGATTTTTATGAGCTGCAGGTTCAATTTGTTTTCTAATTCATTCAGGAGGTCTTTATTGAACACTCCATTGATTACAGCATATGTGTGCCTTATGATATTGACTTGAGAAAAGTATACACTCCTACATATTTTGAACTTCTGGAATGGCCTATAAAAGAAAGTTGGCAGAGATAATTGTGGAAAAGAATTCATGTGCCACAATAAACAGACAGATAGGCCTGAATGGACAGCATCTGAGGCAGAGACTCAGAGCAGGTTGCAATTACAGGAAGGAAAGGTTAAATGTTGGGAGATGGCATCAAATACTCCCTTTAGTTTTTGAAATGGCACTTGTATGCTGTCCAGGCATGCTTCAAACTTAAAATTCAGTATATATCCCAAGATGGCCTCATACTCCAACAATCCTTTTGTTTTAGGTTCTTGAATGCCCAACGATTACATGTGTCTGCCATGACATCTGACTTTTGCCTTCTCTTTGGGCTGAAAAATTTCTCAATAAGATCTATTGCGTAAAGGCCATCTCTGCTAATTTTCCCAACAAATTATATCAAATAGAATTTTGAATGTAGTACAGCATGGGAGAAGCACCTAAAGCAATCTTGAGACAGGAAATATATTAGGATGGTTTCGGCATTCTTGAATGTTCTGGTTTGTGTTTTGTAAGCCTTTCCCTACGTCCTGTAAGGATTGTCACTTACCCAACCCTGTCATGTAGTCAAGGTTTTTGTCATGGAAAGGAAAATTTAAGGCAAAACAACCCATGGGAAAACAACCCATATTTGAAAGTCAAGAAGTATTTCACACATTTTGTCAAAGTTCCTGGTCATATTAATAACTATTCATACTGCAAGTTAATTGCATTTTAATAATTAAACTGAATTTAACTGCCAATTGGCTACTTCTACTGACATTAGTTATCATTTGGTGTTAATTTGATAGTAAAAACATTGTACTCAATCAATAAAAATGAACTAGTACTATCAGAAATAGAAACTAGGAAAGACAGTAAGTACATTAGACTCAATGTTAACTAAAGCTTTGGTTTTCCAGGTATAAGGTTTTTGCTCAGTGTCATACAGTCCCTGATTTTGTGTCCCTATGGATGATGGTATATGGTTTAAGAACCTTTCATATTCATGCATTCACCGATAAATGGCCAATCACACATCTTTACCCACTCTATATTATTTTTCAATGCAATTGAAAAAGACAGGATGATGTCTATGTGTAGGGAAAGGTATTTAGAAAAATGTTTCCGTATATTTTATGTTATCTTTCTTTTACCAGCTTTTTATTTACTTTGCTCTGGGTGTAGAAGGTGTAAGTCATAATAAAAGGAGTATTTATTTTCATAGAAGTTAGTGCCTGTAGGTTAACTGGCAATAAACAGAGAAATCAATGCCCTCTAGAATGTGACAGGGACAAGGAAGGAAATTAGGTGATATACAGTGGCAAAGATAAGTGGGAATGTTTTCATTCATAAGGTGTCAGGAAATATATGCCATCCCTAAAACATGCTTAAAAATCAACCAGAAACCAATGAGATTAAATGCTTAAAATGCTGTAAG